TTTTCTGTCTTTTTCTTTCTATTCAGTTTGGTGCTCTTCTCTTCCTATCCTTTTTTAGCGTGCTTGTTCTTTCCTCAATTCCCCCACCTCTCTAGGGAACCGTAAGGTTTTGTTTCACCGGTTTATTGTGGCCTTCCAATGCCTGCAAGAGGATGTTTCTGGTTGGTCCATGCGCACTTGTGGTGGCCATCTTTGATCTTGTGTGTACTTGTGAGATCCATTGCGGCCATACTGGATTCTTGTCACCATATCGGGCTCCACGTTGGAGTCAGGATTTCGTCTCTCAACGTACCACATAGTACACGTTAGGTATTCATCGTGCTGCTGTATAACTGACATTTTCTATTTTATCGTAATATTGTAAGCCACCCATTATAATACTAGTTGTGAACCAGGGGATATAGTGTGCTAGGGGTGAGCCCCCCTTGCTATTGGTGGATTGTGTGTCACTAAATCTCAAGGCATCACATAGAATACCTGATTGGGGTGAGCCTCCTAGATGTATGTATATTGGCACTTAGTGGTATGTGTGTTGCATGCAGGGTTTCTATACCAGGTGGTTAATCTCCTGCTTTATTTATCAACTTAGTGGATTGGGGTGAGCCCTCTTGGTGCCTTTCACAGCTACTGTCACTTCACATGTGGCTACTGACTACTTTTAAATACCCTTATAGGGGTATTTTTCATATTCTGCCTAGGGGTGAGCCTCCTTTACTTTAACATCCCTACCAGTCACTGAGGGACTAAGAGATTGACAGACTGGTTACACATACAGCTCTATTTGGCCTACTTTGTCTGTGCCCATTGCCTCCCTTGGTCCTATAGATTGGAGGATTCATTACATACCACATACTCTAGGTGAGCCCCAGCTTCTATGCCCACCTCTTATGTTACTACTGTCTCTGTTACAGTGATTGTGCTGTTAGCTGTGACTGTGCCCTTACTGTTTACTTCATCTCCGTACAGATGCTGAATTCACTACCGCAAAAGACCCCAGTGTACCCATGGGAAATGCACCAGTGCAAGTCAGCACAAGCCCACTTATCAGACAAGTAAGATGTTTCTCTACCTCTCCACCCCCTCCCCCCCATTGTCCATTCTGGATGAGTGGCAGGCAGACCACTCTGCCTCAGATGAGGAAGAAAGTCAGCAGGGTGAACCCCTGAGGATTCACCATATGTGAGGGAATCGGTAGTAGAGGAGATGCATGCCAAACGGGACTTCAAAGTTGCTGCTCAGGGTGATGTCGCAAAGATTTTCTTGGACGCCACTGGTGAGTTGCTGTTCGGTCCGAGGACCAATTATCATCCTAGATTCTTGGAGTGGTCCCTTCCAGATCACCTGGTGCAGTTTATCCATTTCTGACTGCGATGCCGGAATTTGACTCTACTGTGTCCATATTTCTATCCAGGACCTGCAGGGACCCGTGGAAGGGCATCGAAAAGAGCTTGAAGCTCACCAAGGACAAGCTTTTGGATGTGCTCAGTCTGCTTGTTAAGATTTTACTCCTGGCAGACGATGCTCATTCCCATGGTACCTCTCTAGACCCAGTTATCATTAGGAATTTGATCCTTATGCTCTATCTGTACAGCGCTGTGGAATTTGTTGGCGCTTTATAAATAATAAA